AATAAGCCAGAAGGGAATAATGAAAGTGACGTTTATTTTTCGTGAAGACGACTCAGCCTAAGCCTTATGCATTCAGTTGTTGCTGCCTCGAATTAATGTTTCGACACTTTGTTGGGAACATAGCTGTCATAGATTCATTTCTTCATGGAACCATGTGTATTATTTAATACTATTAATACTATTGCTATTGTTATTATTAATTTCGTTATCACTGTTGTGAAATGATGCTTATTTCTTTTGATCAAATTCTCCCATATTAGGTTTCTGATTCGAACAAATTATCATTTTCAATATCACCATTATTACTTGTATTGTTATTATTATTTTATATGCATACACACATGTTCAGAATAAAAACTTCAATGATTTATTGATAACATGAATTTTGCTAATAAGACAAAAGAAACGAATCGACGTTAGCCAACCTCAAACGTCTTCACTTGATTCACCTTACTAAACTGTTTTCATCCATTACACTGCAATTTTTCCTCCTCAGTCGACACCGGTACTCCAGTTTATTCCCAATTCTCTATCGTCACATTGTAAGCATTACTTACCGTTTGAAACCTTATTTTGGACAATATTAAATTTATAAATACTCAATATTATTGTTATTGCTTTACTATCATTATTTTCATTAACTTCATTATTATTGTCAACTTTATTAACAATAATAATATTACTATTACTATTATATCAAACGCATACTGAGAACTAAGATCAACTACTATAATTAGCAACGAAAATAATGAGACGGTGCCCTCTTTGTATGAATGGATGATCCTGGTGAAACGATTAAAGAACTGTAATGAAAAACAAATAGATAACATCCATGAAACAGATAATATATCTATCAAATACTACAGACAATTATTGTCGCACCACCTGACGATCGCCGCTCGCCACCCACAACAACATTCACTAAGATGATATGTAGCGACGATTATGAACGCTATAATAAAGATATTTTACGCTAATTCTCTCTTATCAACACCTGACTTCATCTACTTATAGATAGTTATCCATCGAATACGCTGCTTGTGTCAGATGAACGAGGAATGGAAAGATTTAGGCGGAACGACAGCCATCCATCTCAACATATTTCGATTCATTTATCTCAAGCCCAGAATTTGGATATGAAGCACCCTCTGGGGGTGCGAGACGGCATGCCAGGGGGTGCGGAGGGTAGGGTGACAAGGCTTGAGTGAGGGGTGTAGAAGGAGATGCGAGATGAGGTTTTATTTTTTATACATTAAAACAGGCGAGAACATACTTCACGGCAATACTTTACAAATAATTCTTTCGGTCACGTTTCATTCTTAAATAAACTGTTGTTGTAGGAGGTGCGAAGGCAACTTGGAGTTTTCTATGAGGTGCGAAGGGCAAAAAAAAAGTTGAGAACCACTGCTTTAGAACAATATGAATTTCTATGGTAAGAATAATATCAATAATAATATCAGTGGTAAAGATAATGATAATGATAATAGCAATCAAATGGCGACTTTCCGGAGTGCAGCAACACAGTTGCTAACAAAACTGAAAATGTAATGACAGGGAAGCAGATGATGAATTGACAAGTGGAATGACAAATAACAATGACAATAATTCCGGCAATAATAACAATGATCCCAAATTTAATGCAACTCACAATACTACATAATTAATCAAAAAAATCAAAATTAACAACCAAATTCGACAAAAATACCAAAAAAAATTACTCAAAATTATTGTTTTGATAAATCTGAAAGGAATCCTTTGCAATAATAATTTCAAAAAAGTTTTCACACCCCATAAACAAATATAATTGTCACGATTCATCGTTTCATCCATTCAATCACCCCATTCATTCATCATAACTTAGCGTAATCCTACAGCACTCTCTCTACCGACACTGATTATGAATTGATAATAACAAGGACAATAATAACAACGTGTATATTATTACTATTAATGTCATTATTATATTTTGTTATTAATATTTTCATTGTTATAATTATTAACATCAGCAATTATCATTACTGTTATTATTATAACCATGATATGCGACTGGCTAGCTCATTACTTTATGGAACAAGATAAAGAGTGTGTTTGCTATCTGCATAAATATTTCACAGTAACTACCCAAATTACGGACATGATCCGCTGAAAGTAAGGTCGACCGTCAAAACAATTTAAAAATAAAACAATACTGATTTGAAAAACTGAAACAGCGATTTATATGCAGCTTCTGGAGTGCTTCGGGCCTCTTAATATTACCATTAGTTAACAACTGAACATACAATTCTCAAGGGGAATTCGAACCCTTAGGCTTCGTACATAACGGGCAGATACTCTAACCGATTTAGCCACCGCTGGTGATAACAGTAGAAGCAAACAAACTGACGACCAATTGAGCCTGTAGTGCCTGAACGGGCTGGAGCACCTGGCCGACTGAGCAAACAACAGGACAACGGTTCGAATTCCCCTTACGACACCAATTTTTTGCTTGTTGACTAAGAATAATAATAACATGGATCAAGACGTATCTAGAGCAGTCTTCCAATAGGTACAAAGTACTAAATGTTGATGATTTACTCTGTACAAAAACAAGAAAAAAAATGTTTAAACCCTCATCAAAACATCACAAATTCATAGATATTTCACTCAACCACTCAATTATCCATCCCAATCATGTAAAATTCTAATCTAAATTCAACGTTTACTTAGATATACATTCAGACTCATCTAAACACATGCATAAAATAATATACAAATTTCTGTAAATTAATCATATTCATTATCACAAACAAATGTAATATTCTGAAAATTTCACAGTAAACAATCATTCAGTTTACTACAGATGAGGCAAAAACAGAAACAAACTTAATGATAATCATTCCGTTCACTGCAAAAATTCCTATGAAATAAAACCTTTGATAAAAATTCTTCGATAAATAGATAAAGATCAAACCACTTATTTAGATATCATAACATGATATATGCAACCAAACATCTCGTAAAATCTACAAGGAAAAGCAAAATTAAATGGGCAAGAAAAGTGGTACAGTGATGATTGGTAATAACTGGATAAAGGTGTGCTGCACAAAATAGCAACATGGGGTTGATCGAAACGCGAGAAATCGCTCCGACCCAAAGGCAAGAGCATGCATGCGAAAAAGTAATCGATCTTCGTCAAATAAGTAATGCTAATCGAAGTGATCACTGTGCACACGTGTTTATTCGATCAAACAGACTGTATTTCGTGGCTCATTTTGAGTCCCTCTTGCTAGAAATCATTGGGCAATATGGAACGAAAAGTAGCCCTACACATCTATGTTCATCGAATCAATAATCAAGGTTAAACTTCCATGAAGATGGATGATTCATCACGCTAATATCACTAGCTGCGCGGCAAGAGAGATGTCAGGGAAGGAAAAATGTGATATTGATGATAATAGAGAGGCATAAACTCGTAATGAATTAGTAGAATTGTAATTGCTGAATGAATAAATAAATAGATAAATAAGTAAATGAATTGAGATGATATCGAACGGACGCTTCTAAGTAAATTAAATTAATAGTGTCCAGCGGGGATGGGATCACTTCCGATCACATTAAGGGACACGAGTTTTTTTCTTGTATTTTATGGCTGACAGCACTCTTTTAGTCACAAACATCAATCGCACTTTGTAGAGATTGGTGAGATCGTGTTTGATAAACGTTTATATAATACAACTATATAATAGCATTATTCTGCGAGACTGCTTCGTTAATATTCATGAAAAGAAGGAAAAGCAAAAGGGCAACAGCATTAGAGTTAGTTTTGTTCACAACGCAAAAAACATGATAATTATTGTTATAAATGGAATCGGAACAAAAAGTAAACTAAAACTTAGCAATGAAAACAAAAACAATGAAAAACTGCTCGAAGAAAGAAAAACGTTGCCGAAAACGCGTTTTTTTTGAAGAGAGGAAGATTAAATGCGCAACAAATTTAAAAGATTCGATGAAAGAAAAAGCATGACAAACCCGCATCAGTGCCTTCTTAGCACTTCTCGACAATTCTTCATCGTCCCGTTCAGCTTCGGCTGATGGTGCGTCTGGTACCAATTTCTGATCTTCGTTTTTCTTCATTGTTGTTATCGATTTAGTGAGGTGCTGTGTTCGACTATTTGGTTCCCAATTGGGATGCTATTACTGCTGCTGTTTTGGTGACGTTACGCTCACAACTGCAGACGCGCTTCGCTGTACTATTGAGCTTGAGCTGCAACTACTGAGTAGAAATATGATAAGAAAGAAATATGATCAGATAAGAAATTTGTCGTCAAAGAAATATGATAAGAAAAGAAGACGGAAATTGAAACGAAGTATGAGTGGAGTGAAGTGGATGTCAAATCTAATTTGTACTACAAAAAAGTAAATCTACACTAAAGAAGAATGAGTGAAGTAGTTTTTAGATGAGCTTTCAAGAGAAACTTCAACAAAAACCTTTTTGATGAAAAATGAAAAATTCATGCATTCATTTCTCAAACAAAAAACAAACTACTTTTGGGTTTCACTTTTTCAAATTTCTCTTTCTCTTGAAATGAATCACTGCACCCAAATATTATTTACACAAGCCAAAACACATCCTTCCATAACACTATCCAAGTTACTATGTTGCATAATATTATTACGCACTACTATGATTACTAACCTACCAGCCATCTATTCAATTACTAGCTTTCATACGCACAATTCAAGTCGATTTATGACTACATTAAAGGGATGTTAATCAGAACAGTAATACTAATAACAAAAATAATAATAAAAACCGCAGCAATAATAATGATAGTACATATTGCATATCTACATTTATAAACACTAACAGACGTTAGTCATGAATTATTAACTAGCATTTGAACACTAGGATAAAAACTAAAGTTAGCGATGCTCAACAACGAGTGACCGGTAAGTATGGCCGAGTTTTGAAGCCACTTAATGGTATCGTATTTGGCTCGGCGGGGCAGTAGGGCAGTGAAGTGATATGGCATGACACGGCACGACACCAACACAACCAACCGGCTCACCCTAGCCGTAGAAGGTAGGATGGGTTCAAGAAGACAATGAATGAATGAATAAATTAATGAATGATATGTAATAAAATACATTTCATGGAATGTAGAAAAAAATGAAACGGCATATTTTCTTAGACTGGAAAGTGCAATCTTGGACGAAGAAGAATAAGAAGAGGAATTGTATTGAAACTAGAACTACTTAATGATAATGACAGTGATAATGATGAATGAGTAGGAGAAATGACAGATCTTATTTCAAAAAGTATTTTCTTTCATGACCATAATTCGAATGAGTTCATTGCGCAATAACTGTGATTTTAAAAATGATGAAGAATCAAAAGTGAAACCAAGATCAAAAACCGGTCAAAAAAAGTCATTTATCACCATTAAGAAAACAAAGACCAAATTAATTAAAAGAACCATTAATGAAACTAACGATTAATCAACAATTTTATGATTTATAATTTATAATCATACCATACCATTCCATTCCACTAAACAATCAATCACATAACTCATCCAACAGTTATTGCACACCTGCACTGATCAAGTTCAGAGGGATAGATTAAGAAGAAGGTGGCCTCTTTCCTCCCTCTTCTTCTCCCGAAATTTCCACTTTTTGTTCCTTCGAAAAAAATTGCGGGTTGCGTCCAGTTTACGATGTCAAGTTTATTATTTCTCATTTTGCAGACACAGAAATTTGGGATGTGCGGTTGAATTAGTACACAAATAATGACGAGTGATTGATGAAGACAAAATGATTCTTCTCATTTTTGATCAATAATTCTCGAATTAATTTTGCAGATTTTGCAGACGTGATACAGCACCTTTCATTCATACATCTTACAGCCTTCGATCCACGACCGTAACCACAAAAAAATCTCAAGACAAGTGCCATCAAAGTACTTTTCTCCTCCCTTTTCATCATTATTTTCAACAAAAGTTGTCATCATTAACATTATTAGTGCTATTATTATCGTTTTATCATTATTATTATTATTGGCGTTCTTATTACCACTATTAAGGGCTCTCGCTCGGTAAAGGGTGCTGAGGTGTCAAGGGACTCCATAGAAGGTGGCCTAGACCCCCGAATTTGCGGGGAGTACCGTAGGCCCTAGCTTTCTGAAAATGAGTAATGTGAACGTATATGATGTCAACAGTATCTCGTCTGTTTAAGAACCCTTTACACTTTGAAAACTCATGATTATGATACAGCAATTGTTGCGAGTGATCAACCAACCTGAATGTTTCGGTGAAGGGAACGAACTTTTTGGGGGTTATTTTCAACAGAATTGCGCGCTTCTACCTATTTCGCCACTATGTGTTTGGCGGACTTCTAAAAAACCTTGCAAATTCTCTGAATGTTTCCATCTTAAGGATCCTGACGACCTCTCGTCATCCGGTGCAGAAGTATGCGACGCGAAGATGATACGTGAGCACCCGTTAATCTGATTAAAAGCGATTAGATTTCACCTGAACGGCTAAATTTGCTGCTGTTGTAGTGAATGATTGTCTCGGTGAAGTGTCAGCGGTGGTCGCCTCTGATCTCAGTTCTCCAATCCTCCATCCATTCGATCATTCTGCTCTATTCTTTATTTCATCCAGACTTACGCTGAAAACTACAGTCATCCTGTATAGAGTACATAAAAAAACTGAATCTCAACAAAACAGATAAACAAAAAGAAATAAAATGGAACAGAACAAGAAAATGAGTTCGTAAATGAAAAAGAAATCTAAGAAGTAAAACACAGATACACACATAAATGAAGAAATAAATGAACGCTGAGTCATTCAGCTACCTAAATAATACCTCAATACTATTTACCCACAGAAACACTTATGCAGTTACGTAACAATTGATGTGAAAAATTCAGTACAAAAGTAAAATAGTAATGCGACAGCCAGCGATGAAAGTACAGTTAAGCAAAATTAAATAAGCATTACAAAAAAGTGCCACAAATTCAAATAAAAACTATTTGAAGGAATACACAAAAATCAACTGAACAAATTTATGTATAGATAGATAAATATTGCCACTTCATTACGATAACTACAATAACAAGAACAATACTAAAACATTCACAAACGTCTGTGAATATAATTGTTATCTTTTGTTGAAAAATCAAAATTTTGCTGAAAAACCCATTCATTCATCCATTCATTCACTTATTTCGTTTGTCGCTCGACCGGCATTTATTAATTTCTGAATTGTATTAATAGTGGACGAGCGCAAAGAGGCCAAGAAGATCTAAAGCAATTAAAAGTGGAATTATTAAACTTATGCTATTAAGGACGTTATGTTATTGAAGGTTCGATGGATTAAAGTGTCTATGGACTGTAATACGTTCAAATGAAATAAATAAATGAATTAATAAACTAAACAAATCAACAAAGAAAAATTGTAAGCGAACATAAAGGAATAAAGCAAACGAGAAAATAGATACGCAAAAATACGTACATGAATGCAGTAACAATTCTATACCATCCACGCCATCTTGCTTATTCGCATGTGGCTCTTCGTCATAATAGTGGTGAAGGTTTGAGTAGCACGAGGATTTTCGATTGTCCTCTTTGCTGTTCTTAATGAACTGCTAAATGAATTGGTGAATACTTCTAAATTTGATTCTTTTTCCTTCGTTCATACTTCAAAATTAAAAAAAAAGAACAAAATCATATATTTATCTCAACAACAACAATAATACTGATAACAATAATAGCACATTATATAACAATAATAATGACTAGAAATATGTATCACTGACATTTTCATTACACAACATTCTTCAGAACATGTATAGTGCACGTATACATAGAATCATAAACACAACAATAATAACAACAATAATTTTAGTAGAACTGGCAACAAAAGTCACAATGTAATATTAATATTTAAGATTTTGATGTATGATGCATGCACATACGCACATTTGTAGACTTTAATAATAACTGTAGCATTGTTTGATTGTATGGGAATGGCCAAAAGTTGACCCATAAAGTAAGGAGGGACGCCATCCTGCTGGCAACACGCATCAACTCCTTCAGACGTCCTTTCAAGTCGATAGACACATCGATCCTTGAAATATGGATACATCGGTATTCTCATTAATCATGCTTTTCAAAATATATGGTCTACTTGAAGTGTGCATTATGTTTAAATTATATTTTCATCAGTTCATCACAGCTATAATATGTCTATAACATTTTATAAAAGAACCATCATCAGTCAGCATTTCAACATTTCGAAATTTTGAACAGTTTGGTTCCGACCGAATCCAAATTTGGTTAGGTTACCATTATGAGCTAAAAATAATATTATTAAAAATAAAAGTTGTGAGGAAATTTATTTGTTTCAAATACATTATTTCATTCAATTTCTTTCTATAGTGAAAAGCAAAAAAAAAAGAATTCCATCATTCAAAAATCAATTCTTTGATCAGACAAACAAAACACGTTATAAGGTCAAGATCAAGCAATGACGCCTATCCATCCATCTTACAATTGGGACATCCACCATTCACCTATCTATTTCTCTCGCTCTGTTCTCACACTCTCTCGCTTTTGTTGCTTCAAAGAACGATCGAATTTTTTCGGTTTAAAATTTAAAGTACATTCTCACCGATACCGCACTCCCGATATCATTAATATTGCCCTTCAATTCACCCCTTTTTCTATTCATTCTCTTCTCATCACTCCCTACGTCTTCATTCAACCAACCAATCAGTAAGTCACAATCAGAAAAAAAACGGATGCAGGGAAAAATGATAAAAAGTATCATTATCAATGAATTTATGAATGGAATTGCTGATTAAAAGCTGTATTACACAAACTAAATGAACAATGGTATCAGTGACAATAATAATAATAATAGCAATAATAATAATAATAATAATAATAATAACTTTGAAAATTTAATTTATCTCACCATTCCACCTGATCAAGTGAATTTATTTATCTCAAAATTTAATTTACTTCACTATTCCATCTGATCTTCATCCAACAGTTAACCAAACATATGAATGAACAAATAAATATTCTAATAAATAACCGAATAAATGATTAAATAAACGAGTAATATTAAATTTCACTTACCTGTTGTTTGATGATATTAATAATAACAATATTATTATTTGATTCATTTACTGAAGTGCTTGTCGATTCATTCAGTGTTTGCTGGTTTGTTTGACTGTTTGTTTGTCCTGGTAAGATTGCTGTTTTTTGGGATGAAATGGTGTCACTTTATTACTTTTCATAAACGCTGCTACTATCGAGGAAGTATTGCTTGTCAGAGAATCGTTGTTAGACGAAGATGATGAGGAGTAGGTTTTTGACAATACCGATGAAGATTTGCGAGGATTTGTTGAGGTAGATGGCAATTTTGCTGAATTCGTTGAATTGCTCACAACTGATTGCTGCTGCTGCTGACCATTATCGCATTGCTGCAAAGCAATCGCATCCTCATGCTTTGCACTCCCATCAGCTGCTTCTGCGATCGCTATTGTGCGAAGTTCAGTTAATGCGAGTGCCGCCGTATCACTCTCTCCATCAATCCGTAATGAAGTTGTTGCTAGTGATGTTGTCGTACGGTACTGCAACTACACTACACTTACTTCTATTTTTTATTTCTAGCATCTTTTCGCAAACGTGGTGGAATGCGATCATCCTCTTCAAATCTTTGCGCATAGAAGCCTCCGCATAGAGTCTTGCAAATGATCTCCTAGAATATATGAGCGCAAGGGCGAAATCTGCCCCAAACCATTTTCTCACTTTATGTTCGGACTTTAGGGAGAGCGTGCAGTACTTTGCCTCATTCACCCAAGATTTTCGCAAAACAAGTGATAGTAGAACAGTAAGATACAGTAAGGCAACAGCAAGAAGGGATTACCAAGGAGAACCGTTGACCCTCTCAGGATGAATTAGGGGGAGGGAGCCTATCTTTGGCGTTATCAGATCAGTTCTCATCTTTATCTTAGATGTGCACCAAGTATACGGTAGAAAGATATAAAATACTTACAGTAGATTGCTGTTGTTGTTTTATTTGATTATCATTGTTCACAGAGGCGGTATTGAACAACCGATTTTTTGGGTGATCATTCTCTATATCACCATTATTATTACTGATATTATCACCTTCACTTATATTACCAACATTATTGTTATTATCATTATTATCACTATTATTATCATTATTATTATGGTGACTATCATTGTCAGAATCTGAATGATGGTGTCCAGCTGTCTGAGGAGAAAAGTAGTACGATCCGGTGGAAATATCTGACGATGTTAGTTTATTGACTGGTTGTAGAGGACTGTTGGCCACTGCTATTTGCAGTGATTGCGATAGAACATTATTATTGCTATTAGGCCTTTGAATTGCCACACCGTTCGCAGATAACGCTGATGATGAAGACTGAATTGTTGCTGAGAACTTCTGCACTGGTTGTGATAAATTATTGTTATTATTAAATAAATAACGCATTTGTCTAGCGATGATACCGTTCGGCTTAGCAATATTTACGTGAACATCATCATTGTGATTATTACTGTTATTATTATTGTTATTAATATTAATATTATTATTATTGCTACTATTACAATTATTATTGTGATTGTGACTATGATGTTCACTATTTACATGTGCCATATTGCCATTTGCTAGACCTGAAAAGGATGAATGGAACGGAAGAAGTAAATGAATGAACAAGAAAAATAAAACAAGTATGCAAAACAAACAATTCAGTGAATAACAAGAACAAAGCGAACAACAGCAAAACAATGCATCAACTCACGTCCGTTTTTCGACGATGAAAGCTGTGATGGTGTTTTAGGAGGATTATTGAAATGACTCCATCTGTTGTTGTTTGAAACTTGGGTTGTTTGATTTGCAGTTTGAGTATCAACAATAGTGGTATTAATACGATGTCGTTCAGCCTTACGTGCTTCGATACGTTGTTGCAGTTTTTGTTGACGCATCGCACGACTATGTGATTTTGTTTGCAACTTCCATTTGGTTATAGCTTTCGTGACAGTCGCAAACGTTCTGTATTTATTGTTTATTAATTACCTCATTTATTACTGACATTTATTCGATCAACTTATTCGTTCACTGTTCTCTTGTAATTCATCACTGCTCGTCAAAATACAGCTCCTTTCATATAATACAAGCAAATACGGATGAATTTTAATCTTATGAAAGTTTTGGCGTAAGTCTAAACCTAATCAAAAGCTTAAACCTAAGCCTAACTCTACAGTCGATTTGCAGTTTCATCCATATTTACTTCAACACACGCATCATTTCCATATGCTGTCAGAAGTGCGAAATTACTTCAACAGTATACGTAATTATAATATGAATGTATAAAATAATAATAACAATAATAATGACAGTTACAATAAGAAAAATAAAAATAGGAACTATGAATATAAAAATGCGATATTTTTCATATGCAAATCTTGTACGAGTATCATGTCGTTTTCAATGATTACTTTTGGTATCATTTTATCTTGATGAATTCTGTAGAGCAGATTCATTATGTTCGTCGTGGACATCAAAAGACAGTTGAATTAATAAATAATCATTGCACCTACTTTGAACTTAATGGCTTCTCAATATGATAACGTGCCACGTTCGTACCAGCCAATCCATGTTCAATTACATCGGCGCCTATTTGCTCTTCATAATCCGTGACACGCAATCCAAGTGGACTTTTATCTAGACCCTTAAGTTTCATCTCAACTTTAGTATATCATCGAACCTCAGTGCTATTTTAACGCAACAAATCCTTGAATCTACGCCCGACTTCATTCAAAAAATAAGAAACTTTTTCGTTATTCAAACTTCACATAAACTTTTATATTCTTCTTTTTTTCTTACCGTTTCCAAACCAAAAAAATCTTCTCCTAAATGAAATGAAATGCGATGAACTGAAGTCTTCTCAAAACGTTTCTCTTCCCTCCGTTCTGATACAATCAAGCGATCATGTTACTGTTGAACAAACACTGAATAAAAAGTTAAAACTAAAACTACGTCAATTATTATTCACCAACTATATTCTGAAGCTTTACAAAAACGCTGCCAACTGAGTTCAGTTTCTCCGTCATCCACCAGTAAACAATAAATTTGTCATTCATAGTATTTACAGGAACATACACCAGTGTGTTTGAAAAAAAACCATATCATTTCAATTCACTTCAGTTTCTTTTAAGGTTTCCTCCTTTTCTGTATCCTTCTCAGATGATTGCATTCACAACTATGTTCTTCATTTCATTTCTTCATATCCAAAAGTTAATCTAATTAGCTCAGACTAAAAATTTTCATTTCACTTATTACTCATAATTAAGCATTTCTTAAAGATGCTTACTTCCTTCCTTGTTTTTAGTTCGTTTAGCTTGTGATTTGAGAGCTATTCAATCACACATTAGCCAATGAATTATGTGCTATTATTTGTCGCATCTCAAGTCTTCTTACTTCTTTCAGTGGTATCGAAAATGAGTGAGTATGGTGTATATTGTTAATAGTAGTTTAATGCAGTTAATCAGCTCAACTTTATCAAATATACTCAAACATTCATACTCATGATCATTAATTGAGCCATTAATTGCTTGATCATCGATATGATTTGGTCATCATGAAAGAAGTACGAGTGAGTATGCAAGAAAAATTAAACTTTCGGAATTGAGAAAACGAGAAAATAGGTGCCCATGGGATCAAATCTTCATTGGGCTAATTATGCACGATTGAAAACTGAACAGAAACTTAAATGATAATTAGAAGCATGGACACGATCATAATGGATAAATTTTCAAGAGCGGATTCCGATTAAGACTCTTACATTATTACAATACAAAAGATGTGCGGCTCTTCAAAGATTTGTCTCGCCATCATAAAAACTCAAAAATGAAATAGAATTTTGTTTCTTTTTCTTAAAAAAACCCCTCACATACACGCATACAAGCAAATTGGTGTATGGGACAGATAATATATGTGAATGAACAGAAAATTTTAGACATAAAAATGAATGCAATGAAATGAATCAAATGTGAATTTTTTGTTTGAAGTTTGCGAGCACAAATGAAAGTGTGATAGATTATTGTAAGAAATGAGTTACGACTGAGCTGAGATTGCAAAAATAAATGCGAATTAAAATTTACAATGTAAAAAGCAAATAAATGAAATTTGAACAAACAAACAAAAATAAATAAGAACCAACCACTAAGAGGACTAATCCAAAAACAGCACTATAGACAATGACTGTTAGCGAACACAACATTTGAATGCCCAACAGTCGAAAACTTCCCGAATAAATCAGTCCATATTGACCGTATGTAGCCCGCTACAAAGCAGAATAAAGTCAGTATTGAATAGTTTTCATCAAGGAGCAATTTTTTGATCTTTTTGGGTGGGGACCACGTTGAGAAGTAGTTCGTCGAGATGTGGGGGATCGCTTCATGGTCGCACTCCCCAAACGAATATAAGTATTATACAAAAACATGAAAAGATCACCCAATACACAAACAAACAAACAAATACAAATAAACAACCACACCAACTCACAATGTACTGATCGTCCTCAGCGAATATGCCGACCGCAAACATGCCCCATATGGACGACGTCAAATGGATGGGTACAATCCCAACCGGATCATCAATTTTCAGTCTTTCTAAGATCGGCAGAATGGAGATGGATATGGCCGAACTCACTGAACCAATTATTAGTGCGTGCCAAGGTCGTGCTACTGCACACATTGCTAAATAATCGTATTCTTCAATATCACCATTAGTCTTGTCACTCTTTTCATTTATCATTTATCATCATTATTTTTATTATTATTACTGTTATTATTATCATTACCGTTATCAGTGTGGTAATCCAGTAGTTCAAGTGTCTGTAAAAAAGCAAACAAATCATACAACAGCTCATTAAACGCTTGCTCATACTCAAAGAGGTACTCTTTTACTCAAGCTCAGTGTTAATTTTTTCATGATCACTTTAACTATACGGTCAATAACACAAAAACATCGAAACGAATAAAAAAAAATTCCACACTACAATAGAAAACTAACAAACAAATGGATGAATGCATGAATCTCGACAAATTAAACAGAAACATCATAATAAATAGTCAACTCACCTGTAATCGAAACTATCGAAGATAATAACCCGTCAATTAAATAATTCACTTGAAGTTTACGCGTTTTTATAAAGCTCACAACAATCGACGTTGAACCACCCCCAATTGAACTCATTATTGTTGCTACGGCTGCCCTGAAACAAACATATAGTTAGTAATAACAATCATGTGCAATAAAATGTTCACTATAGTAACAATAAATAGATAACAAACCTGGCACCAAGCCGCCATCGACCATCCGTAATACCCCAAACAGAACCAGCGTTTATGCCGAACCATCCCCACCATAACATAAATGTGCCAAGTAATGCATTTGTTGGCGAACTCATTTGATGAATTGAGTCTACATTGAAACGATTTCTGCGAGGTTTCAAATAGATTGTCGCTATTAAGCCTATTACACCACCAACCATATGAACCTTTGAATTAACACTTCTTTCTATTAATGTTTGCTTTCAAAAATTTAATTACACTTTTATTCATCAATTAATGAATAATTAATATTATTGTTGACTTGATCACTACGCAAAGAACAGCCATTTCATTAGACAGTTTCTTCGGTAAATCTTCACGATCCAGAGATCAACTTAATATTTCGATCAAACTAGCTGAAGCTCAATGTTGGATAATCTCAAGCCAAGACAAAGTTTAATTCTTCGAATCTCGACAGTTTAGTCAAAATCGTTTTTTGAAGTGTTATTTTTTGGTAGTCATACAAAGAGTGATCAATGAACAGTGATGATAACTGTCGGTAATAATAGTGATATAAATGGTTCGATGAAAAAGCAACTTACAGCACAACACCCAGCAAAATCAACAACGCCAAGTGAAAAGAAAAAGCCGTCACGGTCCCAAATCCAGTGCGCAGGTAATGCTTGAACTAATATCACAAGACAACCCAACAATATGTATGATTTCAACTTTGCACGTTCAGCTACAGCGCCTTAATATGTACAAACCAATAAGCGCATCTATCAGTAGTGATAAAAATGATAATATTGATAATCGTAATGATTAAAACAGCTCACTTGTTATTCCATTACTTCGCCGATCGCTTCGGGCAATCGGCGAAATATTGAATACGAAGTATTGAATACAGAAAATCTAATTTATTGAATACATAAAAGAATAATAGAACAAAACGAATAGTTACAAGAAGAACACGTGCAATGAATCAAAATTCAATTGATAAGTCAGCAATGATTACGGTAATAATAATAACAATAATAATAATAATAATATCAGTAATAAAAATAATAATGCAAATTTCACCTGATACAATTGTTGAAGCGGTAGTCGCGAAGCTAAGTTGAAACAGAAATGATGCATATGCCCAACCTTCTCTGTGCGTTTGTTCGTTGTTTCTAAAGTAATATCGAAACAATAAACGTCGTAAACAAACAAACAAACGAATTCAACAAATAAACAATTTTCATAACAAATGTTGAACATTTCACCGCTACAGTCCATTCAAAACACTCCAGGAATCGATGTAAAAAAGTGAATAAACCGTGTTGGATCGTAGAAGAATCGACCGAAACCGATGAAAGGATTTCGTAACGATTCCGCATCCCCGTAACTGAGTCCATATCCAATCGCCCAATACGAAAGCCCACCAAAAACCACGTCAACGACATTTTTCACCATTATATTCACTTCATCTTTGGCAGAAACACTTCCGCTTTCCAATAGTCCGAAACCTTTTTTGTTCGAAATGCACTTTACACATTATCATAGGAAATATCAATGAATAACGCTATTTTCATTCAACAATACTTACAAATGAATGCTACCACACTAATTTCAGTGAATAACAACTATAACAATAGATTATTGCTAATAATAATAAATAACCACAATAACACCAATGATATCAGTAAATAATAATAATGAACAATAACTAAACAAATCTACACCTGAATGCATTGTAAAAATGATGAAACTACTTGTAATAATCCACACTGCATCGTCTTGATATAGTTTCTCAACTTCAGCACTATATGTTACATTCAAAACATCTGTATAATGTTCTGTTTCTAAAATATCATAAAAATAATAGTCATAGAATATTAATTATAATACTAGGAATGATAATTTTAGTTTTTGTAAATAATATAATAATCTATTAACCGTAACAAATTTTTTGGCTTTGTTCAATCACCTCTCCTCAGAAATCACTGGAGAGTAGCTCGTCAGCTAACTCTGTGATTGGCAAAAGAACCAACGAGATTAGAGATTATGATTAGGTAGTTTGATGGAGATCAGAATGCTTCATGATTTCTTGTAAAGAAAATATATGGTTGGATGTCGCATGAGAAATGAACAACGAAATTTGTGAGACTATTATTATTGTAATTGGCAATGATTTGGAGCAGAAACACATTTATTCATTGTGATGAGTTATGAATTACTGCGCATCAAATAAATAAGTAAAAATAAAATTCACTCACGAGTAAGTCCAAGCTTGATGTCGGACGAAGTCATAACCAACTACACTTGAAATGACATAGTCGTTGATTACTTGATCAGATAATAATATGAGTAATGACGAAGAAGAATCGAATCGCTCTTGATAAGCACAAAAATCGGTTTCACACAATAATACAATACGCATTTAAAAATGCATATATCTATAGCCTATTTGTGCACTTACTTTATCATTGATCAATATCAATATCAATATCAATATCAATATTATTGGTGATAAAAATAAATAATATTATATCGTGATGAATAATAACAGTAGTTTGTCATGTAGTAACGATAATAATAAGAACTATGGATATAGTTAGTTTATGGATGTATCCCATTCTCCACGAACAATGCAATGCAATGCAAATTATACTGCACTTTATGTGTCCTACAATATCTGTAATAATAGTAATAATGGTGAATAACAAAAACAATAATTCTAACGGTAACAGCAGCGATAATAACAATAATTATCACAATAACAATAATAGTGACAACTCTAATAACTGCTACACAATCCACGGATATTGAATTAGAGGGTATGATTAGATCCGAGATGACTGAATCCAATCCCGTCATCACTTATCTTCTTCCTTCCCAACGAGGAAAATCGTGTTTTTCTTGCATATTGATGAGTACTTTCTTCATAACGATTACATATGCACTCAAGCGCACAATTGGTGATCTTAACCATGTATTTGATAAGGTTGACGTCATTGGTTGTTTTGTAATAGTGCTAACTCACATTCAATAATACTTCAAAGAAATAAGAAAGTGACATATATGACATTAACACTTATAATTGAACGCCGTGATTGGTTAATAGCAAAGTATCAATCAAAAGTCAATCAATCCTAGAAAGCGTCTTTTACCACACCTTAGCTCTGGCTCTAACTGGCCACCATTACATTTACAACGAATCCAACGACAGTCCCTCTGCAATGAACATTTTTTCCACATTCACGTCCTTAAAATGTTCAGCTCTTATGCCACAGATCTAATGGTTGGAGATTGCATAAAATTCCTCCCATTACCGTTATGAGTTCTTCCTAAAGTTATAGGTAAGCAAACAACGAAGTCAGCTTGAGGTGTACAGCCCACAGTTGATATACATGCAGCCATCACCCATCCAAAACTCATTCATTTATTTGTGTAATGATCATATGAATTTTTTCGAGACAAAATCGATGTGACAACGAGCGAATTTAATGAGAATTATTTTATATCTTTACATTGAACAGGTTTCTGAGAACGCAAAATTCGCACAGAAAAATCAAAAATATTTTATTTCTTTATATTGAAAAAAAGTCGGTTTTTTTTAAATAACGAACAATCAAAGAGAGTATCAGACCGGTAATATTGCGGAAGCATTTCGAACGGGAATGAAGTTGAGGGGTCGAATAATAATAATGATAGTAATAGTGATAGTTAAAATAACAATAATTATTTATGATAATACATATAATAATAACGTTAATGATAATAATAATGATAATAATAATAATAATAATAGTAATAGTAATAGTAATAGTAATAATAACAGTAATAACAATATCAATAATAATGGTAATAAAATATCATAAATCCGTCTACACAACAGCACATAAAAACAAAAAAAACTGTAAACTATGACCTAACACTTCGCCCTGAGGATATCATAAATGACACTGTACAGCACTACCTCATTAACTAGGCATAAAATCTAGCCGACCGAGTCATGTCAAATGCATATGTACAAGTATTTATGGACAAACGGATGAATGGACAAGCTTAAGGCTTCAGACTTGACAATAACAGACGTCGAATGAACGAAGAAAGTGGTTGTATGAGCTTTGCTCTGCTTGATTTGCCTCTTGGACTGACCAGGCTTGATGCAGCCTGGTATGGCCACGAGAAAGAGTGCAGCAAGCAGACAACACAGCTAACAAGCCAGCCAGCTTCAAGTTGAGTGCGTTGTTCAGATGAATGAATGGATTGAAAGGTGAGCCAAGGTAAAGTTGAGGCAAAGAGTGATGCTGCAACACTGTGCTTGCTGTCGTTGTCAAAGCAACCAACCAACCAATCAACTAAGCAACAATAAAACGATAGACTACGTCAAATGATTTTAAATACAATCAGATCATATGCACTGCAATCAAAAGTTAATTGATAAATGCTTAACGATATGTAAACGACTGAACTCACGTAACAACTACAAATGCAATAGCAACAGCAACAGCAACAGCGTTAGCAATACGGATTCAATTGATACATAAAGATTCAATTCTTTCAAGCATTCAAAGAAATCTTATACTTAAGCTACGTCGTGCCAAGCTTGAATCATTGAACCACCTGACCACCAAACAATCAGATGTTGCTGTACCCATATTATTAAAAAATTATTCCATGGTACCGCCGTACATTTTCAACTTTCATAATTATACCATAGATATGCAAACACACGTAAAGATACGTTGCGTTTCGAAAAACCTTGAAATTTTCAATCAATGTCCAATTTAATAGTTCAGTTTTAACCGCTACTTGTATCATAGCTATTGTTATAAATGTTAGGTGACAAGTGACCATGTTTATTTCTAGTTTTACCGCGTATACAAACGCCGTGAACAATAGAATGAACCAATAAAAATAAATGAATAAATTTACGATTAAATGAACGATAGCATTATTACTATTATTATCGCATATGGCTAATGAAAAAGTACTTTTGAATGAGTTGAAACTTTCGACTGATTTGAGCTCAGGCTTAGATTTAGCCTTAGCTTAAAAAATCAGCCCAGACTCAAGCTCGTTCTCAGCCTTATGTTTACACTTCACTTCCTCAAGCTCTACACTTAAATTGTTCAACTATACAGCAGGATTTGACGTTGTTCCATCTCGAGTATCGAAAGTGTTCACGAATACCATTGCAAACTGCGAAAAATCGTTCGGTAATTCCCATTCATTTTAATTTACAACCAATATTAACTAACCTGTTCGATGATTTTCGAAAATATTCATTCAATAATTTATTTCAAACTAATTTCCTATATTTATAAATACATCATACCAATAAATTAATGCTAACATATCATAAAACATTGTAAAGTACTACATAAAGCATTCTGCATAAGAATACTATAATAAATATATTCATTCATATTCTGAAAATTTAGTCTGCTTTGCGAATAAACTTAAAATGAACATACATATGACCAAATCGAGTGATAAAAACACTCTGTTTCATTACAAAAACGAACAATGCAATAGCATTCGCATGTGACATAAAACACTCAAAAAACTCTTTATTATTACAACGATAATGGTAACGACAATATGTGTAACTAACACGCAAGTGCTAAATGGAGTGAGGTATATGCTGCGATATAATACAAAATATTCACTATCAATCATCAATCGCCACCATAAATCATTTTCCATATAGCCCGCCGTATCCACAACACATTCCAAGACCACCCATACCCATACCCATACCCATACCATACCCACCAAGTCCGTATCCACCGTACATTCCATATCCACCCATACCGTATCCACCCATACCGTATCCGCCAAGTCCATAACCTAATCCACCGTACATCCCATATCCACCTAGACCACCTAGGCCCATTCCATAGCCCATTCCTGTCGAATCAATATTTGTATTTATTCAACCAGCAATCACAGTCAATTGTGAGTTTGTATCTCTCTTTTATTGATGACAACAAATATTTACTGTTGCTCAGCAGTGGAATGATTAACATACTGATGATCGTTATGAATAATCTAATCGAATAGAATAATAAAAACCTTCATTTATTATTGCTAATTCACAAAGACTACTGTTTTTCGACTACTGGTTGAAACTCATTACATTTATGTTCACTCGATAAATCGAAGCGTTGTTTTGGGTTCATTTCCATCTCCACTCTCTAGAAATCATTGGGCAGTATGGAAAACTAACCTTATTTATACCTTAACGATCACCAAATCAATAACCGAGACTAGAATCTCATGACGTTCGTTGACCTAATATCGTTAGCTGAGTAAAAGAAAAGATGAATGTCAATGAAAGAAGAACGTACTGTTTGATATCTATAATATTATAAGATGATTTCGAACAGTCATCAAACCGAATAATTCAATAAATAAAGGAATAAATAATCTCATAAACGATGTCATAAATAACTTAATTAGTGAATAACGTGTACATAGTTAATTTTGAATTACTTGAAAATGTAATTCGCTAACGCACATGCCAACTAATTTGTGCATTGTCATAATGCAAAGTATTGAAAAAATATGCTTCCATCATCAGTGTTTTAACGCCCGGAAAGAATTTTTTCACAACGATATTTGTTGCTTCAAGCAATACAGCGTAAAAACAAGCTATAAACTACTCCACAATAAAATGGAACGATTGGACGACAGAAAACAACAAATAAACGCTAATTGTGAGTGTACTTTATAAACTGTCTGAAACTTATGCACAAACTGTTCGCTGTTTAACAAGTAAACAAAAGTAGTCGTCATTATCTTAACGAATCAGTGCTCAGTGGGGAAGGGATCACTTCCGATCACATTAAGGGACACGAGTTTTTTTCTTGTATTTTATGGCTGACAGCACTCTTTTAGTCACAAACATCAATCGCACTTTGTAGAGATTGGTGAGATCGTGTTTGATAAACGTTTATATAATACAACTATATAATAGCATTATTCTGCGAGACTGCTTCGTTAATATTCATGAAAAGAAGGAAAAGCAAAAGGGCAACAGCATTAGAGTTAGTTTTGTTCACAACGCAACTTACTGCCAAACGCATAAATTAACGTGTTCATAAGAAAGTGATGAAGCAATGTAACTAACCATACATTCCACCATAACCACCAAGCATTTGTGCACTGGCCATAAGCCTGTTTGTATCATTACTGATCAGGTTGATCGATGTCGATAAAAGTATCATCAATTGCACTGTTAAACGTATCGAAGCGAATCGCTTTGTGGCGAACATCTCAATAAATCTCTTCAAAAAATCGTCTGACCAATTCGTGACCAAACAATAAGTAAGTAAATCGCAATCCAATTATTCACAACTAGCCCAAATACACAAACTAACCGCACAAACCGGATCACCTCACATTCTTTGCCACGATCAGCTCTTCTCACCTTTCTAATACTATTAATAGTTGGTGGACACAAATGCCTGCCACTTTTATTATTTATTAGTATTACTATTATGACTATCACTGTTACTGGTTATAATGGTAATAATAAGTTATGGTAATAATAATAATAATAATAATAATAATAATAGTTAGATTAATTGTTGTTCAAACAGTGATTTTT